TGTCAGGAGAGTAGGGAGCCTGGCGAACCTGCGGAATGCCGTGCTTGGTCAGGAAACCCTGGATCAGGTCTGATGAACGAGCTGGGGCGTTGTCATGATGCAGCTGCCAGTTGCGTGCGTCCCACAGCTTCGGTCTACTGCGCCGAACTGCATCATGAAGATGGCGGAGGACTTCTTGGTAGCACTCCTTATTGACAGTTTGGCCTAGTGGTGCGTACTCATCATGCACAACACCCCGGTAATCGAAAAAATAGTCAGTATCACCTTCACATTGCTCCGAACCTGTCGTGCTTCTTTGGGCCTCGGGGATGTTGGATGCTTCCATTGTGACGCTTGGACCTTGGTTTCCGAGTCATATCCGTACACCCACGACTCGTCACCAGTGATCACAGTCTTCAGGAACTCAGGGTCCCTGTTGGCGCACCCCAGTATGTCCTGCGCAACCTCAAGGCGGCATTGTTGCTGCTCCGGCGAAAGCAGCTTGGGCACAAATTTTGCCCCCACTCTTCGCATGCCCAAATCCTCAGTTAAAATTGTATTTGTGGAACCTCTGCTGATTCCAACCTCATCAGCAACTTCCCGGATGGTCAAACGACGGCCCTCTATGATCAGTGTCCGCACTTTTTCAATGACATCAGCATTTCGGCTCTTTGACGGTCTCCAGGAACGATGGTCACTGTCCGCCGACATACGGTCATCTTTAATGCGGTTGAACTACTCTTTAATTTGAGTGACCCCCATTGCATCATCGCCGAAAGCCTGCTGAATTTTGCGGATCGTTTCCGCTTGGGTATCCCCAAGTTTCTGACAAAACTTGATGCAGTATCGCTGCTCCAAGCGTTCTGTCATCTTGAGCGAAACGAGAATGCGACGAACACGTGTTACACCGCTTCGCTATCTGGCAGCCACAGATGCATCTGGCGGTGTTGCGAGTCAGTAAAAAATCACGCATGCGTATGAAAGTCCCTTCTACCACTACGCTCAGTTTCCCCACACCTTTGGCCATTACTTACAGTGGCAAAAAAATAAAGTCGGATACTTTTTGGACAGCGGTGTATATCTGCTGTTGCCGCAGTTGGCGCTGCCATGGTAAGCGTTGATTGGCTAGCGCTTGCTTCGCTCTGCCAGTCAACCAGAAGTAGGTAGTTGGCCTGGAGATACATTTATGGTGTGGTTCTACAGGCCAATGGAGCCCATTTTTTTTCCCCTTGGCACTACAGCCCCAGTGGGCCTAGGCCTGCCTCCATGAACTTCTCCGTTCACTTCGGTTTTTCTAGATCTTACACATTAGATAGGACTCCTTGGGCGGGTGATCAGCTTGTCGCTAGGCCTCTAATGGAGCCCATTACTACTGACAAATCATAAACAAACTCCCAAGGCCTCTAATGGAGCCCATTACTAGTGAAAACTCATAAACAAACTCCCACCAGCAAACGGCGCACTGGTCGCCGTAAACCAGTCAACAAAGTTAAAAAAAAACTATATTTGTGCAAATGGGTGAGCCCTTTTATCGATATTGTTGTATATTTTCCATTGTCAGAGGTGGAGTTCAATTCACCATGTTACTGGTACTGGCTCTACTTCCTTCTTCATGTGATTGGTTGCCATTCATTCATTCATCAGTAATCTGTCAAGACGACAGGTCCACAGTCTCTTCCAAAACAGTTCCTCCACTTGATGCGATGTATGCGAGATGTTTCATTTGAAGGAGAAAGCTCTAGATCGCATCAAGTGGAGGACCCCCTCGTAGGTGGCTCCACCTAATCGTGGTGAGGGGGTTTGAATATGCCAAGGACCCTGA